TCTGAAACCAGGCTTTCTAACTGTGTCCTGTGCCAGCCTTTTGAGAAAAACAGCTCAGCCATCTAAATAAACTTCATGCTGAGGCCAGAGATTTTCATTTCCTAATTCTAAGACATCCTATCTGCCTACTCCCCCCGCACAAACACACACACACACACACACACACACACACACACATTCCAGTTGTTCTGTACTTAAAAGCAAATGGAAACTGGTTTCCAATTTGTGCTTAGGTCTGGGGACCCGCTAAGGTCTGGTGCCCTGTTACATTCCATTCCCCACTGGTCATAATGAATGAGTCAAATCATGGACTTGTCCTGTTTTAATGAGGTGTAGGTCGAGCCAGATGGTGATGGCACATGTCTTTAATTACAGCTCTTGGGATGCAGAGGCAGGAATTCTTGGAGTTTGAGGCTAACCTGGTCTACAGAATAAGTTCCAGGACAGTCAAAGCTACACAGAGAAGCCTTGTCTTGAAAAAAAAATAAAACAACAATAACAAAAAAAGAGGTGTAATTGGTCCTAAGGACCTCTAATTTTACTGAACTGACTCATAATTGACCGTATGATTTAAGGTTGAGGGCCCCAAAAATAATTCAAGCAGAATGAGAATTAAAGGCCTAGCCGGCACTGCCAGCAGAGTAATTAGTCAAAGGGGCCAAGAGAACAGAGACTGGTACCAACTATCTGATTAATGTCTTTGTCTTTCTCTCATTTTGAGTTTGTTTTTCCAACCATGGCAAGATCTTTGTAATTACTCCTGATCAATTAACATAGAAACAACAAGTTTCTCATAAAGCTATACATAGTTTATCTCATGAAAAGCTAAATGTAAGCCTCTGCAATTTTGTAGGACCATTTCTGCAAGGGAATCTAACTGCCGTTTTAATGCAGAAATGGAAAATCTTAATACCTCTAGATCAACATGTCTGCTTAGTTTGGAAAGCATCAGAAGAGGCCCGTTTAGTCAAACCAAGGTATATGCCCACCAAGTAGTCTCAGGGGCCTAGTACGATTGCTGTTGTTCAGATAATTAACCCATAAGACAGAATGGAAAATATCAAAATAGGGGGAAGTGCCTAGGTTAAAGGTTTTGGATAGTAGACAGCCCCCTATAGGTCCTCTAACATTAATGTGGGATGCCCCCAATCCCAGTGAGTTTTGTCAGTTGATGGACTGACAGTCTTGTTAGTTCCTATCCCTCTGCCGTTCAGGGGCTGGGTGCCTAAGCACAACCAGCAATCCTGGCTGATCTCTGACTGGGAATGATTAACTCTAACCCTAGGGCCCCTTGCTGTGGCATAGAATCAGATTCCCCAGGTTTTCCCTGTTTCCCAAAGGCCAGAATATTTTTCAAAGGAATTTCAAGATTATTAATTTTATGGCCAATTGGATTTCATTTTTCTATTGTGCACCTCTTGGGAGGGGGCTTTCTTTCTGTATATCCATTCCTGTGTTTTCAGGAAGCCTTTGTTTTACAGTCCTAACGTTTTGCAATGGAAACTCCCTTGTTCCTGGTAACTAGAGGGTCAAATCTCAGGGCATGCATAGAACTGTAAACTCTGAATTTCAATCTCAAAAGATAAATTCCCACATTTTTCTCTTTTTTCAGTACAACCAGACACTTAAAGTGGGCATCAGTAAGCAAAGATCAAGATGAATTATGAGTTGCTAGTCTGTAGTCACATTAGCTATCACCTCCCCTATATCTGTCTTCCTCGGTTCCCAGGTCCAGGCCTGTCTTAGTTAAGGTTTCTACTGATGCGATGAAACACTATGACCACAAGACAAGATGGAGAGGGAAGGGTTTATTCAGCTTACACTTCCACATTGCTGGTTACCACCAAAGGAAGTCAGGACAGGAACTCAAACAGGGCAAGATCCTGGAGTCAGGAGCTGATGCAGAGGCCACGGAGGGGAGATGCTTATTGGCTTGCTTCACATGACTTCTCAGCCTGCTTTCTTATAGAACCCAGGACCACCAACCCAGGGATGGTGGGCTGGGAGCCTGCTGCATTAATCACTAATTGAGAAAATGCATTACAGTTGGATCTCACGGAGGCATTTTCTCAACTGAGGCTCCTTTCTTTCTGAAGACTCTAGCTTCTGTCAAGTTGACACACAAAACCAGCTAGTACAAGGCCTGAGGGCTATAGGGCCTGGATCATGACCCCTATACTCATACCCATAGGACAAAACATCAGACTCAGGAGGAGGTAGAAGACAGGGAATGGAAGGACCTGGAGACTGATGAGACCTTAATTTTAATGGGTCCATAGTCCAGGAGACAGTCCATTTGGCAATGACATTCATGGCTTTAGCATTCTTGCCCTGGGTAGTGGTATAACCATGACATAATGCCAGCTAACTTCACAGCCATAGGCATGGAGAAAATCACCATGTAGGTTCTTTTCTAAATTGGTTCCAGGGCTTCTTTGGTTGCCCGCTTGACCCAGAAGGTATCCCTGCGCTGGAACAAGAAGAAACTGGGGGTGGACTCCGAGGTAGGCTGGGTCTCTCGGATAACCCACGGAGTAGCCTTCACGGAGATCTGGAGGGCCGGGAATGACTGGCGAAAGGAATCATTAGAGAGTTTTGTCAACTGCTGGTTTCTGAGTCTGAGAAACAATGGAGAGCTCTTCCAAACATAATTTCATGGGGGGAAAATCCCTTTCTATATGGGAGTTAGCATTAGGCCTAAGGCAAAGCAAGGAAGGAGTTTGTCCATCCTTTAATGAGCTCTAATGAAAGTTTTGTTAGAATTTCTTTTAATGTCCTGTTTTTTATTATTATTATTTTTACCTTCCCAGAACTCTGAGGTTAGTATAGTCTAACACAATGAAGTTTTCAAACTTTGTCTAAAGT